TGATTTTCAAAGTTAGCAAAAAAAAATGTTTGCAAAAATGAAGAATAAATTACAAAAATGAGGCGTAATCTGAGAAAATATTGACCTGTTTCATGTTGTTTGATTAAAGAAAGAAAATAAAAACACCTAATGCATTGCAAGTGAGCCAAATTAAAGCAGTTTGACATTAAACATAAAGTTTTGATGGAAAAAAACACAAAATGTGGCCAAAAGTATGTGGACACGAGTCAACAAAAGTTATCACTTGCAGCTGAAATATTAAAATAAGAAATAGAACAACTTCTCTAACTACTGATTATCAAAATGAGCAAAAACAAATGTGAAGAAACTACAAAAATGAGGCCTCATCTGAGAACTTATTAAACTATTTCAATGTCGGTTGATTCAAGAAAAGAAAAACAAAACAAAACACCTGCATTTGAGTGAATTGTGTGCCAGGATGCAAACGCAGCTAAAAAATCTCTAAGTGTTTGTTGCTGTTGAGTTGAAATTTACAGACCACAGCTGAAAATTTTTAAAAAGCATTACAGAAGAGAAAAAAAAAGGATGAAAACTGAACTACAATCAGGAAAGTTTTCACACATGATGAAAAATATACTAAGTGACCAAAAGTATGTGGACATATTCCTAGCATCAGAGTGCCCAATAACATGTTAGGGTGTCCACATACTTTTGGCAACATACTGCTCGTGTTAATGTCCCACATTAGGTAATTTGCATTTATATAGACAGTAATAAATCACAACAATCTGTAACAGCCGCTAATAAATCCATAAATATTCCTCTTATCTAGATTCCACATGTTGACTTTGTTGATATTCTGCAAACATTTATTTTTACCGTTTTTTTTCGGTTTATTGGTGGTTTTAAACTAACTGAGTTTATCTGTGTTTCCATTTTCCTGCTGCAGAGATTAAAAAAAATACAAAAGGCTGCAGAGGAAATGTCACCTCCTCATTATGAGTTATTGCAATAACAAGAACAGACTCATGACCCTCAGAGGGTTTTCTTAAGTTACTTAAGACTGAAATGTGCTCAGAGGTCAGGATCCTGTTTTTGATTCTGTTTGTTTTGGTTTGTTGTTCTTCTTCCTCTACGTCAATATCTTCAGATAAACTTAACATTTGAGCTGAATCTTCCTCCCACGGTGACTTTATTTGTCTTCTGGCCTTCAGCTGACTTGTGACCTTTGACGCCTCACTGACAAATTAACTGTCAGACGAATAATAAAGTAAAGGAAGGTTAATGAGTTTTTGGGTAAAAAAAATCATCTTAAAGCGAGTTTCTGCTGCTTCACAATGGACGATATCTGGTCTGCGTGCAGTAAAAGCAACAAGTTGGTGCTACTTTAACTGAAATACTGTGATTTCTGATCATTTAATTAACAAAAAAGTCTATTATTCTTGACTAAATGAGACAGAGCTGGGTAATTAACATAAATAATTGCTGTTTTTGAGGTTTTTCTGCACCACTGGATGAAAACTTGAGTTGATCTGGAGGAGAACAAGAATATTTGTAATAAATTCAAGGCAATCCATCTGATAATTGCTGAGATATTTCAGAGTCATGCTGCGAGAATATTTTACGATATAATCTATAATTAGTGTGAAAGACAGTCAGTAAAATATCTGTTTATATGTTTGTGGCCTTCTTTAATTCTATGAACCACAAACCTCACCGACAGCTTTGAAAGGTTTAAAACAAAACAAAAAATCACCAAAATTACACCTTTAATCAAAACCAAAAACTGTAAAAACAGAAAAAATTGTCAGATATTTAACTTTACAACAGTCCTTAAATGTTTCACGCATAACATCATGTTTTGTTGGGAAAATTACCCAAATCTAAACTTAAAATGACGACATTTTATCACTTTATTTAAAAAAAAATTTGCTTAAAAAAAACCTTTGGCTCACACCAGATTCTGTAAAAAAACTAAAAATTCAGAGCAACTCGGCACAACCGAGAAGTCATGAACAAGTCAGCTGTGACCAACAGTCACATGGTAAAAAAATTCAGAGTGTTTTCAGCTGAACTGCAGGCAGTGTTTCGACAGAGCAGACAGGAGTAAAGAAAATGGAAATAGGTTAATATTTATATTTTGTAGAGGCACCATTTAATTATTTCCAGTGTTGGTAACACCTGCAGGCATTTGGAAAAAAGTTTATTTTGATAGTCAACAAAAAAAGCAACTCATAATAAAAATAATGACATTTTTCCTGATTAATTCTAACTGCGCCAGAGTTCAGACGGTTAAACAATGTCTTCATGAAAATTAGATCCAGAAATGTATTGAAACCCTGCAGAGAAAAGATTAAAATGATCTTAACACTGCAAAAAGAGTAAATGTGTCTATAACATCACGTGTCTGCTCGGTTCAGTGTTTCTATATAAGACGGTAATAACTCTAACAGTCGTAGTTTGTGTGTTTCTGTGTGAACAAACTTGTCTGGAAACTGCTTCAGCTCCTCCAGGCAGGAAGAAATCACTTTCACCTCCAGCTGAGCGTCAATTTTACGCGAGTTGATGCCGTTGGATTTCACTTTCTGTGGAGACAAACAGAGCAGATGAGAAAACACGGAGCTCTGCTGCCTCCTGGTGGACAAACCTCTGAACCGCAGCGGCACACGAAATAAAACGACAGTTACCAGAACCAGAATCATCCATCCATCCATC